TAACAATATTTTGACAGCTCCAAATCAGTGACTAATAAATACTGGCATAGTCTTGATATAATATTAAATCAGGATACATCAGTACTATATAAATACTGACACTATTGACGTGTCAGTACTATTGTAGTATTATATCAATATTCTGTGCTACGTGGGATTAATTATCAATAAAATCTCAAATACGTAAACATATCGACTGAACTATTTAAAGTTTTGAAAGTGATGAATAAACGTTTATTTATTCAGGGACTTCTTACTTTATCATTGTTCAATTTAATTTATACCAGGTAAAAAAACAAATTAAACCTTCATTGAATTAAATATTGAAATACAATGGAATTAACATTGAATTAAATATATTTAAATAAAATCTAATAAATAAAATTATAAGCGGTCCGCCGTGACCTTGAACTTCTCGACCCCGTCCCGCGGCCCCCCCTGTGTCCCACGCCCCTGAGGATCGATCGGCGGGACCCCTGCGGCCGGGTCTTCGGTCCCCCCGCCGGGATTTCCGGTCCGACCCTCCGGGGAGTTGCTGCAACCCTTAAGAGTTTTTTCGGGAAAACCGTCACCCCTCGCGCCGCGTTCGTCCTTCCGGCTCGGGATTCGGCACGCGGGTGCACTCGGGTGGCCGGAGCTAAGTCCAAAGAATCGCTGACCCCGGCCTCCCCGGAGGAGCGCTGCGCCCCGAAAGGCCGTTTTTTCCACCCTCGCGTGAAGTGCCCCACTTCTTACCTTCCCGTTCGTCCTTCGGGCTCCCGGTCCCATCTGCAGGTCGGCGACGTTCGATAAGGTCGGATTTCGCGATCCCTCCATCCGGGGAGCGCTGGTGCCCTAATACGTGAAACTGCAGACGGTCCGCCGTGACCTTGAGATTCTAGGCCCCGTCCCGCGTCCCCCCCCCCTTCNCCCCCCCCGTGTCCTACGCCGCTGAGGATCCACCGGCGGGACCCTTGCGGCCGAGTCTCCGGTCCCCCCGCCGGATTTTCCGGTCCGACCTTCCGGGGGGTTGCTGCGGCTCCTAAGGGTTTTTTCGGGAAAACCGCCGCCGTTCCCGCCCCGTTCGTCCTTTCGGCTCGGGATTCGGCACGCGGGTGCCCCCGGGCGGCCGGAGCTTAAGTTCCGAGAATTACCGACTCCGACCTCCCCGGAGGGGCGCTGCGCCCCGAAGGCCGTTTTTTACGACCCCCGCACGGAGTATCCCACTTTTTATCTTCCCGTTCGTCCCCCAGGCTCCCGGTTCCGTCTGCGGGTCGGCGACGTTCGGTCAGGTTGGATTTAGCGATCCCTTCTTCCGGGGGTGCGCTGGTGCTCCCCGACGGTTTTCGGAAAAATCGGTCTGGCTCTCTTCCTGTTGGGCCGATCGGAGCCGCGTTTGGACCGGAGGTTCTGCCCCTCGTCCCGCGTTGGGCGGAGCAAACGCCCCCCGGGGGTCCGCAACGGGGGAGCCGCGGGAGCCCCCCGAGGGTACCGGTGCCGAACCAGTTTCTCAGTAGGTCACGCGGATTTTGGAGACGGAGGGCCGGATCGCTGTTGCCATGGTTATGCTTTAGGTACCCATATGACTGCGCATTGCTCGAGCGCGGAACATGGCCAGTATTCTTGAACTTTAATTTTTTTCATCGTTTGTATGTTCTAGCGTCGCATTGCCCCCCCCCCCAAAAAAAAAATGAAATCAAACGCTGAGTCCTGCAATCTTAAGTTTCAGCAGTCGCTATTACACTGTCGATTGCAATTACTCCCCAAAATAGATTAAAATGTTCCCAGCTACGTTCACTAAAGTTTACCGCGATTTGCAATAATATTCACCATAAGTATCTTCCGCCGGTTTTCGGAAAAATCGGCCTGGCTCCCTTCCTGTCGGGCCGATCGGAGCCGCGTTTGGAGCGGAGGTTCTGCCCTCCATCCCGCGTCGGGCGGTGCAAAGAAACTTTAATAGGCATGCAATACTAAATTCCCCATGGGATTTTGGCTGATGAATCCGAACATGGATTTAGCTTTTTTCCATCATGCACAGATTTTCCGGAACACTGACACTTCTCTAGAAAAGCTACATTTGTAGGGAAAATTCCTACTTTTGCGGGGAACATATAGAACTAATGTTAGGTAAAAGACGTTAAGAGAGAAAAATAATTTGATTTTCATGTTTGTTTTCTTTTTATATATAGGTATTGAAGAAAAATTATCCATACGGAGTGTACAAGAACCTCAAAATCATAAAAACAAATCAAATCATGAGTTGAAAAACGCTAATTCCGCGAGTTTAAATAATCGCGTCAAACACAGTTCAGATACCGTAAAACGCATGTTAGCGCCTACATTACAGTATTATACATTACAGCGCCCGCGAACGACAATTTATCCATTCCAAATATTCTTCAATGTACTTAGCACAAAAATAGCGCAGATGATCGAGTTATTAACGAGATACATACTTACTGGGAGCGATGGTCCACTTTTAATTTTTTTAGATTTGTTTGAAATTGTTCACCCCACCTCGGATAGATTGATGAACGCTGATATCGAACATCACGTCCGTTTTTTGGGATGATAAGTATTACGTCAATGTTTTCCGCAAAAATAGGAATTTTCCCTACAAATCTAGCTTTTCCAGAGAAGTATCAGTGTTCCGGAAAATCTGTGCATGATGGAAAAATGCTAAATCCGTGTTCGGATTCAGCAGCCAAGATCTCATACGGAATTTAGTATTCCATGCCTATTAAAGTTTCTTTCCTAATACTAATATCGAGATTTTTGCGGACCAGTGCTCCTATTCGCCCATATAACACCATGTATAACTCATCCGGTTGTTCTGCGCTACCGGTTACGCGCGCGCGGTATATTGGCGGCGCTCCATCCCGCGCGGGCAAGGCAGAGGTTGTTTCACCGCTAGGGCCTTATATTCATGCTGTAGGCTGTAATTATCGATATTTTCTCCTCCCCCCACCCTTCCTCTCCAATAAATATTTTTTTGATACTTTCGTTACACAGGGTATGCCAGACCACCCGTAACAGGTCTTTTTCTCGGTTGGTTTAGGTAGTACGAAGTGGGGGACCGCGGGGTTGAATAGGGAATTGGCCCCAAGGAATCCGAATTTCACGGTCCCGAAACTCCCCATGCCCCCCTTGGGAGGTAAAGAGGTAAAGAGGGGGTCACGATCCCAAAAGTCGGGAGACGTTGTGCACATTGCCCCCGCCGAGGGTGGCCTCGGGACCATGAAAATCGGATTCCTTGGGGTCGATTACCAGGGAAATCATCTTTTTCCGGAGAATCTACGTCAATTTGCGCCCAAAAATGATCTCTTCAAGACGGGGACATCGGCCCCCTCCATAATTTACCTTTGGTCAAAAATTGACGTAGACTCTCCGGAAAAAGATGATTTCCCAGGTAATCAATCGACCCCAAGGAATCCGATTTTCATGGTCCCGATGCCCCCCTAGCCACCCTCGGGGGGTAAAAGGGGGAGACACAACGTCTCCCAACTTTTGGGATCGTGACCCCCTCTTTACCTCTTTACCTCCAAAGGGGGGCGTGGGGGGTTTCGGGATCGTGAAATTCGGATTCCTTGGGGTCAATTCCCTATTCAACCCCGCGGTCCCCCACTTCGTACTACCTAAACCAACCGAGAAAAAGACCTGTTACGGGTGGTCTGGCATACCCTGTATAACGAAGTATTAAAAAAATATTTATTGGAGAGGAAGGGTGGGGGGAGGAGAAAATATCGATAATTACAGCCTACAGCATGAATATAAGGCCCTAGCGGTGAAACAACCTCTGCCTTGCCCGCGCGGGATGGAGCGCCGCCGATATACCGCCCGCGCGTAATCGGTAACGCGCAGAAAAATCGCTGTATCTCACGAGCGCATCGTTTCCCGAACGTCAAACACAGTGTGGTAGATGCAGAGTATCATGGAGAATCACCTCAACAGGTTTTCATTCACGTAGCAACGATTGCCTGGAGAGGAGAGACGAAAAACGGAAAAAAAGTCGAACCTTCAAAATCGAAAAAATCGATTTATGACCGCGATAAATTACGCAACCTTGCAAACAGCATTAATATTCTTGTAGAGAATGTTTTTTAACGTTTTTTAGCCTTAACCGCAACACTCACACTCAAACCGTTCGCGAGATATCGATTTTTAAAGTTTTGAAAAATTGCAACTTTGCCCCCCTGCCCCCTCCCCCCCTGATTATCCGAGGAGGCAATTATCAGAGAAAACTGATCACAGAGGGTCAGCACTACAACGCCAAAGGTCGCGGATTTTCACTCGTCTTATCTAACTTAGATTCCACATAGCTTTTTCCTGAACACGGGATTTGCCAGTGAGTTTTACTGTTTACGGCTCCACAGACACCGACTAGTGCCGACACCTTGCCGCCGGCGGGTTTCCCTAGACCGACCGACCGGCACCGAACGGTCGAAGCGGGCACCGGGTGGACGCAACGCGACGATCCGTGCCCTGCATGCATCGCTCAAACGCCCTCTCCGCATGTTGGTGGGTGAACGGTTGGAAATACGCCAAGACGGACGAAATTTTTATCTGGGGTCGTAATTTTGGCAAAATCCATTTGGATTGACTATCCACAGTCACTTTTACGACATTACTGTAGATGGGCCATTCTACAGGGCGCTTCCGACTATTTATCGGGTGAAAACAGGTCAAATGTGCATTACTCGTGCACGATACGTCAAAACGGACGAAATTTTTGAACTTCGGGGCAAAAGTTAGACAAATCTCTAAGTAAACATGTGTTTGAACCTTTTATACGATGTATTAAAAATGTAGGCCTTCTAGGTCTATATGCGGTACTAGGGGGAGGGAGTCAATTTTATGCGGTGACATTTTTGGTACTTCATATGGGGCCCATTGACAATTTTTTTTTTGATGATCGCGTTTCCCCTCTCGAAGTCGAAAATTTCGATCCACCCAAGTTAACACGGCTCACATGCCAAATGGAAAGAAAGAAAAAAATTAAAAAATGAAGGCAAGAAAATCAATGATTGTACTTTGTATCAAATCAAGTTTACTGATATTTCTTTTAGGGTTACATCAAATATTAACAACTATGGATGGAAAAATAATTAGCATAGCCTGGAGAGAGGTTGAGAGATAGTAGAAAGTAAGGTATTAGACAAGAACAGAGCTTTCAATGAATTCAATTGTCAAGATTGCAAGAATGCTCGTCTATGTATGAACTAACTGAACCTATACTTACTTGGAAAAATAATGAACGTAATGCAAAATGAAAACTTCGAAGTGTTACACGTCATCAGTGAAATAAAATTTTGCTACGTCCTCTTTTACTATAAAAAATACATTTTGATAAAAATTATAAAATTAAGGGGATGTGGCTGGATTAATGGAGAGGAACCTTATCTCTTTTGTCTCATGCAATCTTTTTCATAAAAAATGTTTAAGAAAATATGGTTAAAATTACGAAAAAATTAATTATGGACAGAGAGGCTCCTCAACAATCTGGATGAGTGAACTTTTACTTTATTTATCTCGATTACAACAGACTTACATTTGAAAGCAAAAATCTTTAAGCCTAGACAAGTCAAACTTTCTGTTGGATTTTTCTCTCGCTTTTGTCAGATGAAAAGTTGAAACTTGTGATACTGACACAAGAAAGCATCAATCAGATGGTAGGTTGAACAGAAACCTGAATCTGACATCACTCTCAACTTTTCATATTGGATGGAAAGTAGGACCAAAAGGTGAAACAAAATCTTCCGATCGACATCACCGAAGCTGCTCAAAAGTTCGGGAGGGTCGATTGAAACCAGAGGCTGATAAGGATCTTGGCATGCTAATTTTCAAAGTTAGGACAGTATCTCATGGCAACAGTAATTGAGTAGAACTTTTTTGCATCCAACTCCCCATTTACTTGTTGTCTACTTTTGTCACGTTAAAAATTTGACTGTCTGAATGAGGCTTTAGAGAGGGAAATCTCTTAGTCTTTAATGTGTTCTTTTCGTACATAGTTCTCCAGCTCTAAGAATTATTAACATTGCATCTCTGTCAATTTTTCAGTGCATATCGTGGGTCCAAATTGTGCACTGATGTTTCCAATTTTGCCTCCTGGTATATTAATGTTGACACCTATACTTTTAATTTCAGAAAAAATTTGGTCCTTTTGGATCCATCTATTCCAGACATAGATATACGTACATTCGAGTCTTGATTATCTGCAGTGGCTACGGCTACCGCAGATAGTAAAAAATGTAAATAGTCGAAAAATAAGCCATGGTAATTTGGCGGGAAAAAGCAATCGAAAAGACTGTATTTTAGGAGATTCTATTAAAAAACTCGTCAAATATTAGGCAGAAATGCAATTATCAGTCTATATGAATTAATTTTACAGTAAAAGCACTTATTTGGGCAAACATGATTTCTGGAGAAATTTTTTTTAAAATAATTTGCAACAGTTTTGGACTGCAATCTGCAAGGGGAAAAAGCCGCAAATAATTCAAATCACAGATAATCAAGACTCTACAGGAATTTCTTTCTCATCTTAGTCTGGTCTAGTGTTCGATTCTGATGAGGGGACATGTTTTTTGGAGCATTGATTAACAACTGCTGGCAAGAAAATTGGGCATTTCACAAAAAATGTTTAAATATGAGATTAATTCAAACAAATAGGTTCCTTCACTCCTGCTTTATGATTGTACAAGACACTTACGAGAACCTACAATGAAAAATTACAATAGTAAATTCCTGAGCAATACATTTTAAAAAAAAGTGTCGGAAAAATTAAAAAGGAGAAAATACATTGAGATTCTAAAGGGTAAATATTATCTAAAACGAAAAAAATTACCATTTTCTGCAGTCTTCAAACAGGTAGATGCCACAAAAACTAGATGCCCCTATGAAATCGTTGCTCTAAACAGATCTTATTTTGACAATCCACAACTAAAGTATGCCGCAAACCTTAAAGTAAGTTACTTAGGTTTAAGTGCTGACGTCAGTGATAACAATTATAAATGTTTGAGGTTAATACATTCAAACAAAAACCATCTATCTTTAATAATACACATGAGATTCTGAAAACCAATGAAAAATAAAAACAACAGAAAGAAAAAACCTTGCAGACTTAAAATAAAATAATATACACTGAGCGGTAAAAAACCTAAGAAAGCTGGATATGTTTTGGAACATTACAGGTGCAAAGTTTTGAATACTGAAATAAGTGAGAAAAGCCTTTCTAAGGAAAGGGCTTATTTTGTAAGTTGGTCAACATTTCGAAAAAAAGGTTTTTTATTAATAGACTTTTGATTCACCAAGAGTCTCCTTTGCCTCTCTATAGAATTTGCACTAATAAATATAACAAATACTCATCATCTTTACGATTAGACTAATCATGATAGAAGCGAATCAATGACCAGATAATGTAGATGACGCATTTAGCATAAAAAAATAAAAGACTCCTACATATTGAACTGATTTGCACAGGAAAGCACTAATTACAACCTATTTAACTTCCTACGGCAAACACAAAAAAAAGGAGAGGAAAAAGTAAAATGCCAAAAATCTTGTGATTTGAACTTTGTTTTCATATTAAATTTACACTTAATGACTTCCTACGACTCCAGGTGTGGTGTACGCTTAAGGATAAAACACCCGAATGCAAAAAGTTCCTTGGAGAGAATAAGTAAAACCAAACAGAACTTATCTCAGAACTGAACTCAACAAAAATGTGAACAATCTACTAACTTAATTCCGAAATTTCCTGAGCCAAAGAGAGAAGCATCGTGGAGAAGCACAGGAGCATAAACAGGCACTGAGAAGATTTCTGGCTGAATACATACAGATAGGCACTGCTTGTAAAGTTACTTCTCTTTCAATTAATAAAAAAAGAAAACATTAATCATAAATCTAAAAGTGTAAAATTGAAATTATTTCATATGATGATATTGAGAAAATTAAAAATTTTTAAAAACAACTGTTCCAAAACAGTGTGCCGTAATTAAAGGAACTTGCAAAAAAGTAAAGGAACTTGCGAAAAATTGTAAAAATATACAAAAAAAATTGATGACACTATAAACTGAGACAAAAAGGCCTACTTCTTTTTCATGGATAAGGATTAATTGCTTTGCTTAAATGGAATTTATATACATACACTTATCAAATTCATCAAGATTTTGTGGAGAATTTTTTTGATACAGAGGTAAATTTTGAAGCAAAGCATTTTGATGAACTTTACTTTTTCTTCCAGATTTTCTCAATTTGAATGAAAAGCTGCGAACAAAAATAGAAGAGGATTTTTTAACCTCTATCTTACCATCACAGGCAGATTCGGAGCAGGGTGACTCACTCTCATTACTGGACACTGGAGCACTGTCATACTTATCAGAATTATTTTTGGCGATTCTGATATTTTCTGACTCTATTACACTTCCAGATGACACAGAACCGCTAACATCTTCAGAAATTGGTAGACTTTTATGTTTTCTTGATTTCCGCCTGAACGATAGAAATCTAGCAATCTTCTTTGCTGTGCCTTTACCACTACTGATGGGAGAATTCTTTTCGGCATTCTTTCCAGCTATTACCTTTGATGACTCTGCCTTCATCGACCGTTTTTTATGAGACAGTTGCAACTCCTTGATCTGGTTTTCGAGTTCCAATATCTCTTGACTGCGAAAAAAAAAAAAGGAATCCAAAAACAGATTACAATGATGATCGTCAATTACTCGATAATTTTGCAATGTAGGAAAAAGACACATCGAAGTCTGTACGTTCATTTTTTACGTTCTTTTAAAAAATATACACAGTTTTTAGATTAAATTGTGATTTACAAGTATGATATTGAAAAAACTCCAAAAAATTCGCAAAAAATAGCAACAATTGACTCTGAGACCCATATAATTCATTGGGGACCTTCTTAAACGTCAGAAATGGAAAGTACACAAAAAAATACAAAGGGACGTGATAACACTCGATAAAGTCGACGAAAATAATTATTTCTCAATCCAGAATTCTGGGCTTGAGGCACTGCTGCGCCTTTGTACAGGCTCCGTTCAGTAAAATATTTGGCACATAGTCTACCTAGGACTAAAATTTTGAGGATATGAAACATTTGGCAAAATCCAGCTGGGGCCAAAAAAGGCCCTCAACGCTACTCCTTCTGTCATCTGTACACAACATGAGAATGGATTTTGCACACAAGGGAATGATGATAGGCAGTCCTTCATAAAATTCAAAAGTTAAGCGCACAATATCATTTACTGGAGCAATGCAGAGGACCTTGTGCTTGTCAAATGGTTAAAAAATATCAACATAATTTATGAAGCATTATAGACCGCTGTTGAATTATACATATTCGAACGAATAGCCATTTCGCACCATCAAAGCATCACAGACGCAAACTATTGATGACTGTTGTTAGTCATTAAGTCATCTTATGGTTATGTCGATACAATTTATATCAGGGCTGTGAATTATGTTAAAACTTATCAAATTTAATATAATAAATCGTATCATGAATTGTATAGATCATGAGTTCCTTAATTATTAATTCCCGTGTAGTTCAACATGGTAGCAGTTCGTGGTTGCATGAAAAAGTGAATTCCAATTTTTTTCGAAGTCCCTGTGCCATGCCGTCGCGAATCGCCCGGTCACGCTAAAACGAATTGAAACAGAATGTCAGACGACGAAAAAATTCTTAGCGAAAAAAGTTTCGTTTTTGACGGAGTCGATTACCACAAATGGAAGCTCCAACTGAAAGCCCTGCTCACAGCCAAGGTTGCAAACAAGTTACAGACCTGGATGAAAGACCCAAAAATATCACCGAAGCCAACTGGCGGAAAAAGCAAGCCAAAGTCCACAATTATATTATTAGTTCATTGTCCAACGCTCAACTTGATCTCATCTCTGCAGATGATACACCTAAGCAAATCATCCAGAAACTAGATAGAAACTAATGAGGTATCCAGTTGCGCAACGAAACTCATGCTAAAAGAAAGGTACTTAACCTAAGACTCTCAGAATCCATTGATCCCAACTCCTTTTTCCAAGTTTTGAGCAAGCAATTAATGAGTTGCGACAAACCGGTAAAGTTATCGATGAAGAAGATAAAGTCGACTATCTACTCCTAACGTTGCCAGATTCAATGTCTCATCTTGCCGATGTCATTGACGTTGTTCCTGCACCAGACAAAACTGTAACCTACTTAAAATAAAAAATTAAAGTTACCTATGAGAAGAAGGTCAGCAAAGAAGATAACTCGACCAGTGGACTCAACCAAAGTATGCAAGCCTTTCGTATCAGTACTCCAAACAATCAAGCATCAAATTAAGTTTGTCCGTTAAATCTAAGCCATCATTCCATGGACCACGTTATCCCAGAAGAAGACACTACAAGTTCCGAGGTTAGAACAATTTCAATGCTAATCACTCTAATTATCAGGACCAGCGCAACCAATCTTACTCCCAAAATCAATACAGAGGTCAATCTAGAGATCGTTATCAATCAAGAAACGGGTATCACTCACAGCGCAATTGGAGAAGAAACTTCCAGACTCGAGGCGGACAAGCCCCTAAATCAGCGAGTCTCCATGAAAATTCACACGATGAGTATTCCTTTTTTATAGATATTGTAGAACCTACATCGATTGTTGTAAACAATTTCGGTTTAAACACTACTACAATTAATCATAAACACGTATCATGGCTTTTAGACTCCCGTACGAGTGCTCACATTATTAACGATCAGAATTTCTTTTCAGATTTTGTTTATCTAAAAGAATGAATGAAAATTAAAGTAGGCGATGGATACTCTCTAAAATCAGAAATAATAGGCATTATTCAAGCTTTTTTCAATGTCAATAGAAAGGACGTAAAAGTTAAATTAACCAATGTTTATTATTCACCCAAGATGACCAAAAACTTGTTAAGGGTGTCAAGTACGACAAAATTAGGAAACAGAGTTGTTTTTAATACAAAATGTGCTAAAATTTTTAAATAAAGTAATGAATTGGTCTCGGTTGCTTAACAAAGGACTAATTTGTATGAAGTAGATTCAATTCTGAAAATAAAAACTCTGCCCAGAAAAATGTTTTTGCTAATAATGTAGAAATGTCAAATTTGGAAGAATGGCACCGCACCCTTAGTCATATTAACTCCAAGACTTAAGAGATCTTCGCAGTTTCAATTTAGTAGATGGACTCCTGAAAACTTTAGAAAAAGATCTTTTAAAATGTGAAATATGTTTAGAAAGCAAAATGTCAAATCTTAAATTAAAAAATAATACGTCAAGAGCATCAAAAGTTTTAGAAATTATTCACACCGATGTACACGGTCCAATAACACAAGCTGGATATAACGGTGAAAAATGTTTTGTAAGTTTTATCGACGATTTTAGTAAATTTTCAGGTATTTATTGTATCAAAAGCAAAAAAGGAGCTCCGCAAATCATAATGGAGTTTAATAACTATGTAAAAATGTTCAAGATAACAAAATTAAACAACTTAATCAACTTAATGGTATCGCTGAACGCTTTAACAGAAGCATAATGGACAAAGCGAGATGTCTCCGTAAAGAGGCAGAACTCCCCATAGTTTTTTGGCCTGAGTATGTCAAAACAGCTAACTATCTTAGTAACAGATATATTACACACACAAAAATCGTTGAGACTTCCTACAAGGTCTTTTTCGATAAGAGACCAAACGTATCAAATCTCCATCTCTGTGGTGGTATAGCTTATGTAAAAACACCCGATACAAAAAGGTCCTCTACATTTGCCCCAAAAGCTCAAAGAGGAATTCTAGTCGGTTATACCGAACATGGATATCGAATCTTGGTAAATAACAAGGTGATTATTAGTCGTAATGTGCAGTTTATCGAGAAAAATTGTAAGGTTATTGAAGCATTATGTAAAAATGAAACAGTCAGTGATAAATTTCCGAAAGGCAAAAGTAATCTAGAAAAATTTGTCACCTTTTCAGATGATGAAAATTCAGATTGTGAAAATAACATTTAGCTTGATAGTTTCCCTCAACAGTTTGTAACACCAAATTCAGATACTCACAGCATTAATACTCCAAGTTCATCAAGCTCACCCTCATTTAGTCCTGCTTTGAATCACCAAACGCAAACGGTAAGAGAACTTAGGGACAGAAACACGATGAAACCGGCTAGAAGACTCATTGAAGTTAATGTGTTTGTGAATTATTGCGATGCAAATGCGCCAATTTCTTATTATGAAGCGATCTCATCAGTAAATTCTAATTAAAGAAAATTAGCATTGAAAGAAGAAATCAGTAGCTTGGAGGAAAATCAAGCTTGGACAATAGTTGATCGCCCAAAAAACTGTGAGGTAATTGATCTTAAATGGATGTATAAAGTCAAGCCAAACAATCAACTGAAAGCTCGAATTGTAGCTGAAGGCTCCAACAAGAATATGTCGAAAATGAAGATATTTATTCTCCTGTCATTAGAATGTTCACTTTGTGAATTTTACTAGTTCTAGCATGTTTCTTTAATTGGTCTAATTTTCAAATGGACGTGAAAACAGCCTTCCTACTCAGAAAATTAAGAAAATCTGTCTATGTTAGACCACCGCAAGGATTCAAAATTGGAATCAATAAAGTTCTTGAACTTAAAAAAGCACTATACGGTCTTAGAGGTAGCAGTAGAAAATGGTATGAATGTTTCAATGAATTTATTATTTCTATCGGATTTACACGGTCAAAATATGACTATTGCTTGTATTATACACAAGTCGATAATGATGATGTGTAGGTATTATTATACAGGGTGCGGCAAAAGTCCCGGGACGGCTGCTTATTTTTTAAACGGCTACACGTAGAAAAACGAATTTTGAGCGATGTTCTTGGGTCAAAGTAAGCTACTTTTTGGCACTCCCCAAAATTTTTTTTGGGGCCCCCCTAGGGGAGGGCGGGGGGCAACTTTTTTTTTTCAAATGGCAACCCCCCCTTTGTGATACCTCATTCGAAAGATAATAAAAAAAGAAAATTTTTGGCGCAAACCGCAGGTCAAAATGTTCATTTTTGACAAAATGGCGGCCGGTCAAAGTTCAAAATGGCGGAAATTTGGCATCTCCGTTCTTTATTGACGGATTGGTGTGAAACTCAGCATTCTAGGGTTTTTCGAGATGAGAAAAACGATTCTGGCATTGGTTTTCCAGAAAAGTCAGTCCTTTTCAAAATGGCGGCGGTCAAAATGGCGGCCTCGAGCGGGAAGTTGATATTTAGGTTGCATATCGTTGGATTTGCATGAAACTTGGTATCTGGGGGTATTTCGGCACGAGAAGAACGAATCTTTCATTGGATATCTGAAATTTTGACAAATTCCAAATAGGGCGGCGGAAAAATTGCGGGAAATCAGTTTTACGGCTCTTTACCGATGGATTTGCATGAAACTATTTGATACTTCAAGAATCTAATGAAAGATTCCTTTATAACGAGCCAAAAACCGCCAGGATATTGAATTTCATGCAAATCCATCGGTAAAGAGCCGTAAAACTGATTTCCCGCAATTTTTCCGCCGCCCTATTTGGAATTTGTCAAAATTTCAGATATCCAATGAAAGATTCGTTCTTCTCGTGCCAAAATACCTCCAGATACCAAGTTTCATGCAAATCCAACGATATGCAACCTAAATATCCACTTCCCGCTC